GACCCATGTTCAATGCCCTGGCTGAGGGAAGGAGGTTCTCACCCAAGATTTGAAGGTACATGGCCCCGTCCATCGTCCCTTTCATGCGGTGAAGTTGTCCTGTCCCCTTAGCAGAAAAACACCCCCAAAGCATGTTTCCACCTCCATGTTTGACGGTAGGGATGGTGTTCTTGGGGTCATAGGCAGCATTCCTCCTCCTCCAAACACGGCGAGTTGAGTTGATGCCAAAGAGCTCCATTTTGGTCTCATCTGACCACAACACTTTCACCCAGTTGTCCTCTGAATCATTCAGATGTTCATTGGCAAACTTCAGACGGGCATGTATATGTGCTTTCTTGAGCAGGGGGACCTTGCGGGCGCTGCAGGATTTCAGTCCTTCACGGCGTAGTGTGTTACCAATTGTTTTCTTGGTGACTATTGTCCCAGCTGCCTTGAGATCATTGACAAGACCCTACCGTGTAGTTCTGGGCTGATTCCTCACCGTTCTCATGATCATTGCAACTCCACGAGGTGAGATCTTGTATGGAGCCCCAGGCCGAGGGAGATTGACAGTTCTTTTGTGTTTCTTCCATTTACGAATAATCGCACCAGCTGTTGTCACCTTCTCACCAAGCTGCTTGGCAATCGTCTTGTAGCCCATCCCAGCCTTGTGTAGGTCTATAATCGTGTCCCTGACATCCTTGGAGAGCTCTTTGGTCTTGGCCATGGTGGAGAGTTTGGAATCTGATTGATTGATTGCTTCTGTGGACAGGTGTCTTTTATACAGGTAACAAACTGAGATTAGGAGCACTCCCTTTAAGAGTGTGCTCCTAATCTCAGCTCGTTACCTGTATAAAAGACACCTGGGAGCCAGAAATCTTTCTGATTGAGAGGGGGTCAAATACTTATTTCTCTCATTAAAATGCAAACCAATTTATAACATTTTTGACATGCGTTTTTCTGGATTTTTGTTGTTGTTATTCTGTCTCTCACTGTTCAATTAAACCTACCATTAAAATTATAGACTGATCATTTCTTTGTCAGTGGGCAAACGTACAAAATCAGTAGGGGATCAAATACTTTTTTCCTCACTGTATATATCGTGTTCATTTGAAAAGCAACGTGCTTGTAATTGCACACTGGCACCTCCGATTAGCACGGTTAGCTACGTAAGGTGAAAAAGAAGTTCAACATACATGACATGGCGTGTACAGAATAGTGCCCATTATTATTATATACACTCCGTTGGAGAGTCAAGTGACTCTGCCCGATTATAATTATTATTTTGTATTGTATAGTTTCGTGTCGAACTAGGACCCATGACTACCAGAGGGGGATTCCTTACCGATAAAAAACAAATTTGGCAGTTCATCAGCATCGATTTAAGCAAGCCTGGCTCTGCTGATGAGACGCTGCATGTCGAAACCGGTCCAGAGTTCTGCTTGTATTAAACCAGACACTCAATTCTGCTGAAGAAACCAAAAACAACTCCCAGAAGGTCCGTGCGGCCGATGGAACGTGTCAAAAAAGACTTTCATATTTATCGATGTGGAAGGACAGACACGGTGAAAAGGGCGTACCGAGTTGTCTGCTTATTTATTTTGTAGCCGAGCGATTAGAGAGGGGGGGGGGGCAGGGATTAAAGCGAGCGGCGCATTTCCTGAAGCCTCCCAACTCACGTGGCAGCGGTAGCAGCAGCTGCTGCAGCTGCAGCAGCAGCAGCGTCCTCTCTGATCACCGCGCGCGGGGGACAGCCAGATTCTCGTAAGCGCCTTAATGGGAGCGGATGCTCACTTACTGCGCTGGCTTTACCCAGCTTGTCACCGCTCGGGGCAAAGTGGCGCACCTTGCACAACCGCCGCTTATTCAGATTCAACAGCGAGGCTTGGTGTGGGGAAGGGGAGGCGACATATTATCTAAGCTCCTTTTCAAAGTAAGAGGCTCAGTTGATGTGCTGGCTTTACCTGGCTTGTTGAATACGTTGACATTTTTTTCTGTCTCTCTCTGCGTGGTGTTTTGTTGTTGTTTTTGTTGCGGATGTCCTTACACTCTACCGATGAGCCGTTAAATAGACCAAAACCCCGCGTTCTCTATTACAGATATGCGAGATCCCTCGTTAAAGAATATCACAAAGAAACACAATGACACGAACCGCCCTCTCAAGTGCAGCGAGCTAATTGACCTCAGCCGGGTCACCGGGGAATTAAAATTTCAAACCAAAAAAAACAGCCCGCCAATTTGGTTTTCTCAAACGTTGCGATTATGGTGACGGTGGCGATTGAGATTGTAGAGGAATGACAACGGTAGTGATGATGATGATCCATTTGTTTAAATACTGTATACAAATTATCTGGCGATTCTGCTGCTGCCTCTCCATCGGCAGTGGTGCACAAACACAAATAAAACTCCGGCCAATGACACTGCCTTAAAATAAGTAATATTTAAAAATACTTTTTTTAAACACGCTTTAATGAAATGTACCGTACTAGTAACGGCAGAACTCCACGACTCCAGGAAGTGGCCCCGAAACTTGCCACAACGTAAGGGAGCCGTGGTGATTTACATCCAACGTGAGTTGAGCGTGGACAATTAGACCCAGGCTGAAACATAACATATATATAAAAAAAAGATTGCTTAAAAAAATATTTTCATGATAGAATATAATATTGTCATCAGTATGACATAAGTATAACAAGTTTGCAGTCGATACCACATTGGGAAGTGGGTTGAAATTGAGTTACAAGATTTGAGCATACAAAAAAACCAGAGAGTGAGTTAATAGAAAGCGTGTAAAAAGTATATAATAGGCAACGTTTTGGGCAATTGTCCTTCTGCACAGCACATTTAGAGGCCACGGGGTAGTTTTATACCGGACATCTGTGAAGAAGAGCTTTGTGGCTCATCGCATTCCTCCAGTATAAATAAATATTATGATTATGACAATGAACCCTCCACCACCCAACATGATTGTCACGTTTACACAGATATTGTTTATTCGTGCCAATGTATTGATCGCATACTGATCAATAAAGCTCACCGGTGTTGACTGAACTCAACACAAACACATACAACGTTTTTTTTTCCTCAAACTGCTTTGAGCTTCATCGGGTAGTGAAACTCGGAAATCCAGCGCGCCGCTTAATCTGACTCTGTGCCTAAGCGTCGCCTTAACATCACCAACTGATGATGGTGATAGCTGTGGTAGTGGAGATGATGGTGGCAGTGGTAACTGACGTTGATCGTAGGGATGGTGGCGATGGTGGTGATTATGATTATGGTGGTTAAAGTGGTGACGTTCATAGCAGGGATGATGGCGACGGTGGTGCTGGTGATTATAGTGATTATGGTGAAAGTGTAAATGACAGTGATTTAGTGATGGCAGGATGATGATGGTGGTGGTGGTGGTGACGTGGCTAGTAGAGATGATGGCAATGGTGGTGGTGATTATGGCGAAGTTGATGGTAATGGTGATTTTCAGTTCTGGTGGTGGAAGGAATGCTAATTGCAGTGGTGACGACGGCCGTGGTGATGAAGACAACACTCATTTTCTACAAACTTCCTGGACGGTTCTGAGTGGGCCACAATTGTGGTCGTCACGCCTCCTTGCCTTGGACGTTTATTTAATTATTTATTCTCCAGGCGGAACTCTGCCGACGAGACTCAGAAACTTGAAATCGGTGCAGGGTTTTGCACGCTTCGCCAAATGCCGACGGAAAACATTTGGTCCGCAAGGTACCTGGGGGCTGGTGACCAAAATAATATCGCGCCGTATTTTGGTTTGGTGAAACAGAACATTTTCTGATTATCACAATTTCTCTGTTGTGTAATTCTGTGCGGTCAAGAGTGTTTAACAAGTTGTGTTCTACTCCGCAATGGATCAAGGTGATGACGACGATGATGAAGCTGTGCCACTAAATGGGTCGCTTCACGTGGGTACACAGGCAGCCGGATGTGTCATTCGCAAAACTCACAAAGACAAAGATCCCCCATATAGCCTATACGTAGTCTGTTGGAGCAAGTGTTGTTAGCGAGCACCAATTAAGGCTGGCGTGGCGCACGAGGGGGTGATATGGCCAGGCCATTCCCGGCCACCTTTGTCTCCCCAGTGCTGTTTTTTTTTAATTATATTTTTTGCTGCTTGTTCGACCATTGTGTGTAGGTCAAGCTGGGCGGTGGTGACGACGCACGCCTGTAACCCAGCATTGTGGAGGCAGCCAGGGTTGGTGGCTCAAACAAATATTGTGACATTCCTTTCCCGTGGGCGTCGAGGAGGTGCCATACCCTGGCTCGCCAGGAGGAGGCGGTACAGCAAGTGGAAAAATCACATTTTGTTTCTATCTGTACGGGCATAGAGTGTTTCTCCCTCGCATGCGTGGGGTTTCTCCGGGTGCTCCGGTTTCCTCCCACGGTGTCCAATAAAAGTTTATAATTAATTGGCTGAAACTGTCGGTATAAAAAACCCAATGTAGCGGCAGGACCCTCCTGAAAGAAAGTCCTACGGCTCAGTGTGGCTCTCCTGGATATATAAGTAAATTATTATCAATTACATAACACTAAATTGGCACTACTAAAGTGAATCCACGTCAAGTGGGTCGGCAATCTGCGCGGCTTTTTTACGGACTGCTTCGTGACGCAATGTCCGTGTTAATTTATTCACATGCATTGAGTTTCGTACCAAATTCGAAAAACGTGGCTCTTCTTGTTATTTTGGTTTGCCAACCACCCCCCCCCCCCCCCTGGGCTACATAGACACGAATCTGCGGTCATGATAATAAACACAACAGGTTCTGATGAACCATTCTATCCCTCCAGCGATGTCACCGCGGGGTCGCTCCCATCCATCTTTAATGGTCATGGAAATCCGCTGCTGGACGAGGGCCTCCCTCCACGCCGCGCGGCGGGGTCGAAGGTGCTAGTTTTGACCATACTTCACCAAACGTGGTCGGAGGAACATAGAAGTTGGACGCAACGATCGAACATTGCTGCAATGCCCTCTGCTGGCCACAGCGTCGCCCTGCTCATTAATCTGAATTCGTTATCAATGCCAGAAGCTTCTGTTGTTGAGGGGACTTGCTTGTCCCCAAAGATGAGCTGCAAACTTGTCCTGGAACAGCACGGCACAGACAGCCCGGGTGTGTCCAGAACAGGACATTCTCTCTTGTGTTGCGTCGTTAACACAACGGTGACCTGGGTTTGGACAAAACACCACACAGATAACACAAATGTGTTGTCTTCTTAGTTCTGTCGGTAAAGTCACGACGTTTCGGCCACAACACAAGCAGCCGTCCTCAGGTGAAGAAACAGAACTGTCGGAAAGACAGTGCTCCAATGAACACTGTTCACGCTGTTCATTGGAGTGCTGTTCACGCTGTTCATTGGAGCGCCGTTCACGCTGTTCATTGGAGCGCCGTTCACACTGTTCATTGGAGCGCCGTTCACACTGTTCACTGGAGCGCCGTTCACACTGTTCACTGGAGCGCCGTTCACGCTGTTCATTGGAGCGCCGTTCACGCTGTTCATTGGAGCGCCGTTCACACTGTTCATTGGAGCGCTGTTCACACTGTTCATTGGAGCGCTGTTCACGCTGTTCATTGGAGCGCTGTTCACGCTGTTCATTGGAGCGCTGTTCACGCTGTTCATTGGAGCGCTGTTCACACTGTTCATTGGAGCGCCGTTCACACTGTTCACTGGAGCGCTGTTCACGCTGTTCATTGGAGCGCTGTTCACGCTGTTCACTGGAGCGTTGTTCACACTGTTCACTGGAGCGCTGTTCACACTGTTCACTGGAGCGCCGTTCACACTGTTCACTGGAGCGCTGTTCACGCTGTTCATTGGAGCGCTGTTCACGCTGTTCATTGGAGCGCTGTTCACGCTGTTCATTGGAGCGCTGTTCACACTGTTCACTGCAGCGCTGTTCACACTGTTCATTGGAGCGCCGTTCACACTGTTCATTGGAGCGCTGTTCACGCTGTTCACTGGAGCGTTGTTCACACTGTTCACTGGAGCGCTGTTCACACTGTTCACTGGAGCGCTGTTCACACTGTTCATTGGAGCGCTGTTCACACTGTTCACTGGAGCGCTGTTCACACTGTTCATTGGAGCGCCGTTCACACTGTTCACTGGAGCGCTGTTCACGCTGTTCACTGGAGCGTTGTTCACACTGTTCACTGGAGCGCTGTTCACACTGTTCACTGGAGCGCTGTTCACACTGTTCATTGGAGCGCCGTTCACACTGTTCATTGGAGCGCTGTCTTTCCGACAGTTCTGTTTCTTCACCTGAGGACGGCTGCTTGTGTTGTGGCCGAAACGTCGTGAGAATTTTATGTTTTCTTTTTATTATTTTATTATTTCCCTTCTACGTGACTTTACCGAAAGAACCAAGAAGATGAATCCCTGCAGTCACGAAAGCTTTAAATCGAAATAAATATTTTGCTTTATAACACGTAGGCTTTCGCGACCAATATTATTCATAATAAAGGTTTTTTGGGTTAGTTCTCGTTATTTATAAATGTGTCGTAACCCTCCACCACCCGACACGGCCAATCAGCAAAAAAGTGTCACGTTGACAAAAGACTAAATAGTTCACTACTTTAGCCCACCGGTGTGTTGAAGAGTGAATTCACTGTAAATGTTGTGGATCCACCCTTCAACACACCGGTGGGCGAAAGTAGTGAACTATTTAGTCTTTTGTCAACGTGACACTTTTATGCTGATTGGCCGTGTCGGGTGGTGGAGGGTTTACGACACATTTATAAATAACGCGATCTAACCCAAACACCTTTATTATGAATGTTGCTTTATGTTTTGTACATATGGTTTTGCTTCCAACTAGGAGGACCCATATCTAGGAAAGAGGTGTCCTGGCCTGGAAACATCTACAGTTCGCCAGCATTGGTTTAAGCAAGTCTGACTCTGCTGATGAGATACTCTATGTCGAAAGCGGTCCAGAGTTGTACTTGCATGCAATCAATGTTGTTGCGTCATGGTAGAGTCCACAGTACATTAGTGATGACGTTGGTCCTAATCAGAATCCTCTTAGCCACGGATCAGGACAACTTACTACGATGTACATTATGCATATTGTGCACTGTGTTCTGTATATGCCCTTGCATATGGGGCATAAGCCGACAAACGCCCGGTGCACGCACGTGTGCATTTTATGTACACTACTGGGCACACGTGCTGTGTGTACACACACTATACAAACTACACACACACACACCGTGTGTGTGCGCGCGCGTGTGTAAATACATGCACACCATACGTGTGTGTGTGTGCGGTGTGTGTAGTGTGTACTGACAGAATCACAATAGACTGCATCGTATAACCAGAATTCAATGCGGATCTCTATATCACAACTAAACAATGTATCTGGGGATACTCCTGCGTTGGCAGTAGTGCACGAAGAACAGAAAACACGCTTCTTCACTGGTCTATGTACCGTCAAGGGCATTGCCCGAAACGTCGACCATTATATATTTTTCATTTTAAGAGCCGCAGTGTTTTTGACGAATGTGTCGCGGGTCTATTTTCTTTTTTACATTTCAAAACATTCACCTACTCCAGGAAACACCCCCCCCCCCCCCCATTAGTGGGATGTTGATGATGAGAACCACTGGCATTCTCAGACGGACAGCATCAAAGAAGTGCGATCACATTTGGCCGCACCTATTAGTTGAAGGCATTAAACCCGGTGACGAAGCACCTAGATTGTGTAATGATTGATTCCTCATTCTTCTATTCGTGCATTGGGGGGGGGGGAGGTGGTTCGTATTACAACAACAAAATGCACACGAACAGTAGCAAATGGAACGGAAGCTACAACAACGAAAAAGTTAAATTTTGACTTAAAGCTTTCGTGACTGCAGGGAGTCATATCGTTGGTTCTTTCTTGGTTTTTAACGAAAAAGTTAGCAGAGCATCGGAGGAGAGATGCATGCCGGAAACTGCTTTGGACGGGAGAGAGAACGAGGAACGGCACACGGATCAGAGTTGACACGCCGGGAAAGAGGGAGAGACATCGCTGTTCAGGACGTTGCCAGAAGGGACGGTGATGGCCAGTGGACGAGACCACCGGTGCACTGCTTTCGTAGGTTTTTTAATTGGTATTGTTTGTTGTTGTTTATTTTCAGTTTATTTATTTTGATATAGCCCTGTGAGCCATTCGGCTCTTGAATCGGGTGCAACCACAACAAACTAAAAAAAACACGAACAAGGAAAACATATTAAAGTGACTATGTGACTGTGCAAACAGAAAATCCATGAAAAAAACAGCTAAATATTCCTGAACAAAAGCACCGTACACCAACGCTGTGTGCAAAAATCCCAGTGGGATGCAAGTCAAACAACAACAACAACAACCACAAGAAAACTTAGATTAAGGCCATCAGTCTAAACTCCGTACTACAACAAAACAAACATGTCCAAACCAAAAAACGTTTTCGAGAATCACCAAAAAATAAAGCCATAATTGCAACGTAACAGTGATCACAGGGACTGTGACCGAATTTTTACAATAAACTACGTAAATAACATGTAACACCAAATCCTAGAGCCATAGCTGGCTGCACGAGTTTCTTCACAACAACAGAAGCATCAGTTGTTGTAACGTTCTGGCCCCGTGCCCCTACTGGACATCTGTGAAAAAGAGCCTTATAGCTCATCGGATTCCTCCCGGAGTATAAAGAGCCCAATTCTGAATGGCAGGTCAAATGGGAGGAAATTGCTTACGGAGGACGAACGGAACCTGGGAGACGGGGTGAGACCGCGCGTTGACAAAACGGAACGGATTCATATTCTTTGGATCTTTCGGTAAAGTAACGTAGATAGGTAAAATATATATAAAAACAAAATCTAACACGGATGCGTGTGGTTTCGCGAGGCCCCCGAGGGATGGTGACGATGTGGGGGGAGGGGGGGGGATAGATCCTGGCCGTCGGTCGTTGTTTACGACGATGTGAACATTGTGGCAGCGGCGGTGGTGTGCACGGTGTTTACGGATCTCGGCGACCCCAAGTTTGATTGCCAGCCATGGCAAGTGGCGAGTGACATCTGGACCAAGCACTGAGCTCTCTCGCTTCGCGCGTGTGGTCCGGCAACCCCTATGACCAGCATCCATCGTGGGGAGGCCTTAATCCAGCATTCAATTGACAAAGGGCTGTACATACGCATACGATTATCGTTATGGCACAATTATAAAGTTGCTCCGTGTTATGTATGCACGCATTTATGTACGTATGCACATGTATAGATTTCGCAATATGCATGTGCTGTGCATGCATGTGTATACGTGCATGCGCGTGCGTGCGTGTGTGTTAGCTACTAATGCTACATTAACTCCCATTTGACCCAAATAGCCGTAAGGAGATTTTGTGATAATCCTGGTGTTCAACACACACACACACACTCACTCGCACGCACTCTCTCACACACACACACGCAGGCAGGCAGGCAGACGGATACATCCGCTCACAATTCGTGCGCACAATATTCGATCGACACTCTTCACTTTTGCCACAGCGACGACATCTGCGGCTTCACCTGGGCCACTCACCCCACCAGCGCGTGGTCCAACCCGCGTCAATCTCCGCACACGTGGGAGGCGCCACGTGTGGGACTAGAAACTCTTGATTTGGGTGAAATTGGCGCACATCACTTTTACAAAGTGGAGGTAACCAGGTGAGGAGGAGTGAGAGGAGGGGAGGGGGAGGAGGGGAGGGGGTAATTTCTTCCCTCCCCCACCCCCCCCGACTTGAAATACCCCAAAAAATATATTTGTTATATTTACCGGAGAAAATACGTTGACTTTCTTTCTCTTTAAGCCGTTGCCCCGCAACGGGAAATAATCGACAGCTGTAATGGGCAATACTCATCTCGCAATCCTGTACTCGGGGCACGACAAATAATTTGCTTTTTTCTTAACGTAATAAGATGACAAGGAGATAATATGTATGGTGAGGTTTTCAAAAATATATATCTTTAAGAATGTAAAGAGTATTCTGACAAAATAATTACGTTCATTACAGGACAAATTCAAAATTAAGAGGCAATTATTTCAAATGAACCGTGGTCAGTGTTCTGTATTCGTTACGCTCACCACTTCTGTGTCCCTATCCATTACTCGCCTTTAGTCCGTCCAAGGATCGAGTGTATTGCAGTGAATCTGAAACTTGCAAGCGAAAAGCAGACCGCGACGTGATATATTCATTGCATTAATGCGTGTGCAATTTGTAAGGGCACGGTGACACAGACTTATTTCATTTTAAGGTTATAATCCCTTGTTCATTACGACGTCCTTTTTACTTTGATGTCTCAACAACAGCGTTACGGAGATCTCGTGATGACGTGAGGGTTCTGCCTTTGTAGTGAGGGTTGTCAGTTGACGCCGAGGAGGGGGGAGGAGGCGCCTCGCCCCCCCCATGTGGAGTGACGTCGGCCGCTAATTATTATGAATGGGGCGGGGGGGGGGGTCCATGTGGAGGACGTCACCTTATAAGGATTATTAATGGGGGCTGGTCGACGTGGAGTGACGTCACGCGCGTTGCACACTGACATTCTTCTCAATAATCTTCCGAATTTCTTCTTTCGCCGTTTCAATGCAATTCAGTGTTCATTTGAGAATAGGTTTTCCCCTTTTTTTCTGGCAAAAACAGCTGTGAGACCTCCTTTGCCAGTAACAAGAAATAGGAATAGGTTTTACCCTATTAACTGGCACAAAAACTGACACCTTTATTCAAGGCATCATGTTTGCAATAACCACAACACAAATAATCAAAATGCAAACAAAAAAGACAACTCTGATAATAATATGCACTGTCCTTGAATTTGATTGGTCCACACCCGAGACAGCTTTTCTTAGAGCCTAGTCTCCATTGGTGTTGGACCAGAAGACGCCAAAAGGCGTACAACTCAAAAACAGCGCACTATCAGAGTATTGAGGGCTCGGGGTGAGCATTTACATTATGAGACCTCCTTTTGACTGCTTGTGTTGTGGTTATTGCAAACATGATGCCTTGAATAAAGGTGTCAGTTTTTGTGCCAGTTAAAAGGGTAAAACCTATTCCTATTGTTACTGGCAAAGGAGGTCTCATAATGTAAATGCTCACCCCGAGCCCTCAATACTCTGATAGTGCGCTGTTTTTGAGTTGTACGCCTTTTGGCGTCTTCTGGTCCAACACCAATGGAGACTAGGCTCTAAGAAAAGCTGTCTCGGGTGTGGTCCAATCAAATTCAAGGACAGTGCATATTATTATCAGAGTTGTCTTTTTTGTTTGCATTTTGACTGCTTGTGTTGTGGTTATTGCAAACATGATGCCTTGAATAAAGGTGTCAGTTTTTGTGCCAGTTAAAAGGGTAAAACCTATTCCCAAAAACAACTGTGTTTAGATGTTAAAACACCAAACTGAAATATTTTACAAGGAAGCATTAACCACAATGCTTGTGGTCAGAATGCAAACTAAAAAACACACTCAGATAATATATGCATTGTCTTTGAAACTCATTAGTCCACACCAGACAGCTTTCTTGAGTCTCAAAACGGTGTTAGACCAGAGGACGCCAAAAGGCTTGACACGAGGCTCAAAAGAAAGCCGTCCCTGGTGTGGACCAATGAGTTTCAAAGACAATGCATCATATTATCTGAGTGTGTTTTTAGTTTGCATTCTCAACACAAGCATTGCGGTTAATGCAGACATGATTCCTCGTAAAAAAGGTTTCAGTTTGGTGTTTTAACATCTTAACACAGCTGTTTTGTTGCCAGACAAAAAACAAGGGAAAACCTATTCTCTTATTTTGGTACTGGCAAAGGAGGTCGCAATGATGTCAGTGTTTATTTGTTACACGGAAGAAGAAAAAATCCCGTTTAGCCAGTTACCCAGCTAGTTTCGGCGGCAACGACCCGCAGCAGGCACGACCGACAGTGGTTCCTGTTGGGGTGGAGAAAGGGCCCAGCCAGCAGCCAGCGAGAAAACATCTGAATATAGATGATTTAAAACAATATGTAGGGCCAGAATAACGTAAAATAAAAGTTTCCTATTTCGGGACTGCCCTGGGAAGTTTATATATCTGCCTCTGACTCTTCACATATCAGCGATTCATTGTAAACAAATCATCACCACGTGGGGTGGTGGAGTGGCGTGGCGGCGTGAGTGGTTGGTCCGCTGTGCAATGACTCCGCGAACCTCGGTTGGGTCTCCCGGTCACGGCGAACATTGATGGCGAGTGACATCTGAACCGGGACACTCGCCACTGCTCTAAGCCACCAGCGAGGGGTTTATAAGACTTCAACACGCTCGTCGCTGCGGATTGGTAAGGGGCCGTCCATAAATGACGTCACGCGATTTTGGACGATTTTTGACCCCCGCCCCCACAATCGTCACACGGCGTCAAATATGACGTCACAAAGCTCTGTCCCCCCCCCCCCCCCAAATAAAACATGCTTCAAATCGCTTTAAA